AAATAAACGTCGTGAAGTTATTGACTTTGTATTGATACAATTTTAAAACAAATGTTGAATATATATCTGAAGTAAATAATTTTTCACAATGTAACAAAAGATATACATATATATATTAATAATACAAGGTGAACAAGAGAAAGAGATATAGAGAGATAACAACTTAAAATCAGGTTGTTTGACTGGGTGCAAGGATTGCATTCCTTTACTCGATGATAACCAGGTAGTTTTATTCATAAAGATTTTTAAGACAGACAGCTAGATACCATAAACATACTACGTATACACAGGCCAGAGTCTGCTTATGAGCTTGTTTTGCTATATGATATAAAAACTAAATTGACGAAAAAAGGTCATTTATTCAAAATCATAAAATGCAAAAAATACATTTTGCAAATAAAACGTTAACATTTGACATAAAGTTCATATTTAATATGAAATTATAATATATAATTAATACGAAATTACATCAACTAAAATCATATCAATTGAATAAATGACACAGAATAGCAAAGGTAGGGAGAAAATTCTGCCCCACTTATAAACATATATACATATCTAATTATAAAGATAACATTAAGGAAGGTATGTGGGTGGGAATTTTCCACAAATTGTTTGATAGGAATTACAAGTTAACACTTCAAAGGCTGATGATAAAAGGAAGTGACCACAACGCACTTACACGTGAACTCGTGCTGACCCCGCAAGATCATTGACCAATAAGAAAGATGTAATCCAATCATGCACTGGTCATAAGTGAAATTTCTCTGCACGTGAAAACATGTAATCTAATTTCAACAATTTATCGTTAAATTGAGTAAGGCAACTCCTCTGACCCATTGACCAGACTAGAGACATCATAAATTAACAGTATAAATAGCTCACTCTTTATTTAAGTCTTAGTAATAAACAATTAATACATAATTATCTTCTCTGCTGTCTCAAATGATTTTATTCAGCTTAATTTTCAATTAGCAAATAAAATTGGTTATTTTTATGTACAAGGACACTGCTAACCATTATAACTTATTTGAAACTAGAAACGAACTTACATGTCTTTATCATACATTTAAGTTTATTTTTTACATTTATATCAAATACGAATAGATGAAACGTCCTTTTTGGGTAAGTATTTCATACGATTAAGTAAAAGTGGCCACTTAATTGAACACATACACTTTAACGGTCATTCTCAGTAACCACAGACGAACTAGGAAGATTATTATATATCTGTTAATCATGATATCCATTCAGACTGTTCCTTCCTGCCTATGTGAGAAGCACTTGTACAAGTTTCTGAATTCGCTATCTGGTATCCTTCCTGCTAATATTTATCTTTTTTTTTTAAATGTTGTCTGTTGTCCTTTTGTTAACACATATTGATCGCTTATTGATTGATATATGCTGTATTTATCTGATCATATACATTTGATGTTGGATGTGTCATGAGATCCTGATAGGTAGATACATTTTCCATTTGAACATGTTGAACATCGTCATAATGTTGCTGCTCATGACTACGAAAATAAAAAAATGGTTATTATCATAAATTGTCTACAATTTTTTGGTAGTTGTCGAAATGCAAGTGATGAGTACATTTAAATGATACATTTGTGTAAAGTTGTGAGTAGTATAAACATCTTTATCATATGAATATATTTGTTTTCTATTTTCTAATTGGCTAAAGGCATAGGTAATTTTCGTTTGTTAAACATTATCATCCACGCGGGAAAATTGATGAGATGCCAATACCGTGTACCTATCGGAATGGATATTTCATACAACACGAATTACAAATAGGACGAGAAATAAAATGAAGGCAGACAATTAGACTTTAAAAGTTTAAATAATGCTAAGTTTGTTGAAAGACTTTCCAGTTTTGAATGTTGACATACGTAATAAGAATGTACAACCAAGAGAAGAGCATAGGGACGGTACAGTTCCAGTTCATCATTAAACTGAGAGTTAACATACAATGTTATGGTATAATATTCAACTTTCTGGTCATTTATTGTGCACCACTTGAAATAAAAAAAAAATTAAGAAACAAAGAGTACATAAAGAGGAAGTCCATATGCCACCTAAGAAGAAAAAGAGAATAGAAATGTACTAAAACGAAATCCTGTGGATTAATTATTATTCGTGGGGTATCGCGTTTGGTTGATTTCGTGAGTACAGGGAAACCACGAACTTAAATGTTTAAAAAATAATAAATTTCTATAGGCCTATATACAAAGTTTCGCAAAACCACGAAATCAGACATCAGTGAAAATACAATTTTTCCTCTACCCACAAAAATTGGTACCCACGTAAATAAATGAATCCACAGAATATGTTGAATGATTATTATTGAAAGAAAAGTCACAGGTCTTTAATAATATATAGTTATAATAAAATAACTCTACTCATTTCATATTTGTGAATACACAGTTATACAAAAAGTATCTTGACCTCTGACTACGTCGACTTCCTCAGTCCATATATGTTCATTAGCTCTATAAAACATGTAGTTAATACATCAAAAGGCTACACTAGAAAATTATAAAGACCAAACAATCTAATAAGGAACTGTCAGGCGATTTTGATGGGTGGCATGAAACAGCAGCAGAAACACAGTGATATATGTTTGGCCCTTGCCATATTTACTACAGGTTTTGTTATATTAGATCTTTAAAAGAATTAAATGCACATACAAGGTAATAGATAATTAAAGGAAAATAACTCCAATAAAGAGTCAATTGCAACTTTTGCAGATGTCCTCCTTAGAGAATACTGACCGTGTCTGTCTATCGGTAATTTTAATCATACATACATTTTTGTTTGCTATTGTATTGGGCATGATTATGACAATTCGATAAAGTGAAAAGAACCTTCTTTTAAGTCATATGAAACAAGTTTTGGTGATTATAATGTTATGGAAATTATTGAAATAATGCATTTAAATATACTAAACTGAGCTTTCTTTGCACGTTTTCATAATTACAAATCTTACGAATCTATAACGCATATTCGACAAATAATATTTACTTTGCTGATTGTTGACTGAAAACTTTGGATACAAAGCATTTTATACATTTTATTTTCTATTGCAACTATTATTATGCATAATTGATTAAATCTCAGGAAATGTGAAAGCTAACTATAACGTCTCTTATAAATTATAACCTAAGTAAACCTAAATAGAATTGTTGTGACTGTCATTTTGTCTTACTACGTAATGAATGCAAACAAATACCACCTCAACCACCATTACCCCATACTTCGAAAAAAAGGAAGTACAACACCATCAGATGTCCAAGATAATTTGACTTTGTTTTTGCACAAAATGTTATTACTTAAAGAAGTTTAACGTGCCCACCCTCCCTTTTTTGCCTATCTAAACTAAATGTCGCCAAGATACAACACAATAAAAAAATGTACATGGAAATATAAAACGTCCTATGATTTTGAAAGATGCATCAAAAGTTGTTTGCTACTTCAGGAAGCTAGCAAAGGAAGCCATAAATGTATGTTAAATACTGCCTGTTAAGAACAACATGATGTATGTATTCAGCTTCAGAAATTCACACCGAAGTTACGTTAACTAGTTTTCTGACGTAAAATCTGGTTATTTATTTGGAATTGTAACGTACAAGGTCAGGAGATTGAATCAAAAGCAGTTCCAGGCAATAACTCGGGAAACAATCCTCTCAATTGCTTTTCCTCAATATATGATAGAGAACAAGTTTGACATGTAAATTTTGAATTTTGGACTTATAGTTCATTCATTTGATATAAAGGAAAACGGTGCTCTCTGTCGTTTACGTGCAATAACATGATAACCAAATTTTTTAAAAGATGTAAAAACACACTAAATGCCGTTTCGATATGATAACTTGAAAACCTTTACAATTATTCTTTTCTTACTTTGATATGTTGCATAAGATGAACAAAAACGGAGTTAATTTATAGTTTACTTTCAATGACAGTTATTTCAGGTTTGTTACCAATTTTACAGCCTTATATTATATAATGTCTTCATTTAAGCATTCCTCAATGTTCTACTTTACATTATTATGTCGTTTGATACTCGATCAAAATAAAAATTGTGCGAATAATACATTTCACATATATATATAAATTTATACCTCTGTGTTTGTTCTGTGTTATTGTCTTTTCCTGCAAAAATTATTATGAAAAATAACATAAACGTACATAAGTTGTTATATACGCAAGTAAACTGTTTTTAAAAATTAGAATATTGTTGGTTGATTGGAAACACATTATTGCAACAGTCAAACGTTGAAAGGTTGAGGAGTACTCATTAAAGTAACACCAAAACCGGTACCAAATCCAAGTAAGGTACGGCTTTAATTACACAAATGACACCAAAACAAAAGGCTTTCCGGAATGAAACTAATAGAAAGTAATTAATCTTTAATTTCAATTGTCTTTTTACCTACTTGAAAATGTACATTTGAGATTTACGTCTGTCTCAACATAATATTATTCCTTGTAATGTTCCGCCGAAAGAAATGTCACCTTACCCGGACACATTAGCCTGACTCTGAGCCGACCAGTCTTTGATTTGACTTTTAAATGTTGCGTGGTTAGTAGATATTATTTCGTATTCACTTTGAAATCTTAATGGAATTGTATGTCCTTTTTCTTTTTTTTTTAATTTGCTTACTTTTATTTACTGTTACCTATACTCGTATGCATGTTTCCCTTATCGAGTGTCCTAATTCTATCGAGTTTACCAATTCAATTCTTCTTTGGTGTCGTACGTTACGTTACATTCGTTACTTTTCGATATATGTATTATTTACGACTGTCATCTTTTTAATGCATAAATTCAATGACGTTAGTCATACCTTGTTTTTTCCGTAGTTGTCGTTTTCTGTGAACTAAAATACACACCGCGACTGTCATTAGAACTCCTAACAGAAAGCCTCCAATAAAAAGACCAACCTGTGTTGATAATAAACAATTCGATTGTACTGTCTTTGCTGAAACTGAAAAAAAACAACATATAGCTTGATTGGTATCACGGAAGAAGCTCGTACATTTCTAATGCTTAAATCAAATAGTTCTTTTCAGTTATATTATTTAGCGAGTAATATGAAATGAAACTATTGGGTAGATCGAGAATGTCTATGTTCATTCAACTTATATCCATCTCGTATAGTTAAATACAAAATGTTCTTTGGATTCACCATGCTCATGGTATCCAAAACAACTCATCAAGAAAATCACAAAAATGAAGTTTTAAAATAACAGAAGCATATTCATCCAACACTATTGGGCTATTGTTTTGATAAACGAAACATAAAACTTGGGACCGAATATCCAAAACGTGGAAGACATACAACAATTAGCAACACTGTGTTGTGAATATATATATATAAAATCCGGTATTTTATCTCACACAGGTAATATAAAGCACAAACATATACATAATAAAGTATACTTTAGCAGTAAAGCAAACACGCTAACATATCTATGGTCATTAAACCCTTTGACAACTCTTAACTTTCATTTCATATAAATCCAAATGTTATCTTTAATAGCAATATGTTATATACTAGCATTGCACAAAGATTTGACGAAAAGAAGTGCGGAAAACTAATTATTTGAGTAAATTTTCTAAGTCCAAGGACTATAACTCTGCACAAAATCATCAGACCGGAACATAATTCGAACTTGATCTGTAACTTGTCATGATAACACAATACACCAAATACCAAATCAATATCTTCAGACAGACAGACAGACAGACAGACGGACGGAGTGCAAACCTAAAGTCCCCCTCGACTTTGTCGGTAGGGGACTAATAAAAGATAAGGAAGAGAAATTAACCCCAAAATATGACATCGACAATGCGGCGAAAACAGCTTCCACTACAAAAACTGCTGACATCCAGAAAAAGGTGATGAACGACCTGTCAGATTCAGCGGAAGAGTTTCAAGTAGCCCAAGCAAAAGCAGAAGTAGAAGCGCCAAATGAGGATGTCACAGTTGACACAGAACCATCTATTGAAATGAAGCTGGGTCTTCCACACAAAAACCAGAAAAACACAAGCAAAAGGCCAAAAAGCGACTGTTGATGGACATTATCCGCGAAAACCAGATGGCATATAACAGATTTATTACGAAAAAAATTCCAAAAATAATGAAAGTTATCGGAGTTAGTTCTTCGGAAACAGAATCCGATTGATTGCAGGTTGAGAAAACAAATAAAATTTATTTCCTATATTTTTTTTAGTTAATATATACAGTATCACAAATCTTATCCCCTGCTTCTTAGCTGAAATGTATTTGTGAGCTATTGCCCTGATCACTTGTCATCCGTTGTTTTGTCCGTTATCTTTTCCGACTGAAAAAAAGTATTTTACCAAACTTTGTATAAACGAAAGCTCTTTAGATGCAGGACTTATGTATGACAACCCTTTCAAATTTCAAAATTGCCATCGCAGCCTTTGAGCGTTCAACTTCTTGTTCAAAAATGAATGTAGGATTTGTTACTTCATTGATACATTGGTACTGCCTTTTTACTGCAAATTTCTTCTCCTTACCACCCCCTCCTCCCCCCTTATCTAAATTAAAGATTACTCCCTAACCTTGATGTTCCTTTTATTTTCGTATCTGTAAAACAGGAAAATGTTTATATCAGAAAACGGGATGTACATATAAAGATGTAAGAAGATGTTGTATGAGTACCAATGAGACAACTCTCCATCCAAGTCACAATTTGTAAAGGTAAACCATTGTAGGTCAAAGAACGGCCTTGGCTCACACATAATATGTACTTTTATATATAACTATGGCCATATGGATGCAGGAAAAAAATCATTCAAAATAAAGTATCTGGCTTCATATACATGTGTATGAGCTTGACGACATATCCGATTGAAATGTGCTGTTATGAAAACTCTGGATTCAAATTTTGATTTTTATTGTCGGTGGAGCTATGGTATGATCCGTTTATGGACTACTTATGGATAAATTGCGCCGCTAAATTAACTTTTGAGACGACCCCTGTAGTTTTTGCTGTCAGAGTCAGAGTCAACAGTCGGAACCGAGACTTTCCGTAAATCTCAATTTAGGCATCATCCTTTACCTTCATTGCAATTAGTTAATATGCTATTTTCGTAGATCTTGTATTGCTGACCATAATTGTAGTGCACTGTTTGTACCTATCTATTGTATTTATCGAGATAATTCAAATACACTAAACACTCTCAAAATGCGTCATTTAAAGGCAAAAACTGCTCAAGTAGTCATTGAATAGTTTAAGTCATTTTCCATTTTTGTAGCTCTTGTATAGCTGATCTTGTATGTTTTTTACTGTTTCTAAGTTTCTCTTATATTTTTGAAGAAATTGCGATATTATGAAAACTAGTCAACAAATTGCTCTAAGGGCGACGACTCTTTCGGTCATTTGAACTTTTTGTATATACTGTAATGCTGATCATTTTGACTGTTGACAGTGTTTATCTATATTTTGTAGTTCTCGAGATAAGTTGCAAAAACTAAAAATTTGTCTATAATCGACATTTGAGGAACATAACACTTTATGAGTCATACGTTATAGTATATACTATAAGGATCATTTCCCAAGTTTGGTTGAAATACGACGACGACGGATGACGACAACGGAAGCCAAGTGATGAAAATATCTCACATGGGCGTATGGCCTAGAAAAGCTTATAAGTGCGTATAATATGAATTATTTCGTTCGTCTGATGTGCAAAATCTTCATGAGATTGCTTTATTTATCTTATTTGTTGTGATTGCTTCATCAAATATGATATAATAAATATAATTGATACCTTATTCGTTGACGGAAAGTGTTAATTTAAGACAGCTTTAAAATATGCTTATAAGTGTTACAGTACTGTACGGAAAGCCCAGTTACACATCATTCGGTACAAGTTCCTGTATATATGTCACATTTGTGATTCAAACAGTTCTATGGGTCACATCCCCATACACAGGAGCCGTTTTCTGGATAAATGTGTTGGTCCATACATTTAGGTGAACATGCATCAGCAAAGTTTTTCCTCCAACAAACTTTAAAGCATCCTTCAAAAGGTATTTTCAAAATGACGATGTTTATGCAGGTCCTCAATGAATACTTATTATCTTACATTTAACTATATTTGAAATAAAAACTTGATTTATTTGTTTGCAACGATGATACATTGGAATGAAACACGAGATAACATCGTGAGCTATTAATCAGATAGAGAGACACACAGACATACATGAATATGAAAAAGCAGCAAGCAGTGAAAAATAAAAAACCTAATCAAAGATACCAGGCTTCTCATTGTCCAACGCCGTACGGTTGCCTGTAATTGCTTACATCCACTTCATTTGAGGTGTAATACCACAAAATCAGAGTACGTCACATCCAATTTCATACGAAAGAGGGTCGAAAAAAAATTCCCTTGAATTTGACAGTTGTAGGAAATTAAACCTGCATTTCATTGCATAAACATATATCTTGGGTGTTTCAAAACACCAGTCTTTTTTTATTTTGTGTTTCTATAAATATTTTTGGAAACTTGAAGTGACGTGCTAAATAAAGCTTGTAAACAGGAGAAAAAAGGAGTGAACACTTAATTAGTTTACTTCCGGTGATGGTTATTATCTTATTTGCAATGAAATGTTATGTGAAATTTTCACTGTAGTACTGGTCAGGATAAAACTAAACTCATGTCAAGTATTTCTTTATTTGAAAGAAAGACAAATTCTGCACAACGTTTTTGAAAAATGCAAATTTAACAAAGACTAATAGGAGAAAACAATGGTGGTATCATTCCTAATTAGGGAAGCTGCATATTCACCTTTGACCTTATATGTACTCATGTTTTTTAAGAATTTCATGCTTTTTCACTGAAATCTTGCAAACATAACATTTTCTGTGTGAATTGTCTCAAAAAGACATTTGAGGGAAAATTGCTCTACCATGAATATTATAAGGCAGAGCAAGCCATACTCAGTGTTTTGTGGAGCTTTTCTGACTTTTTCTCCTTATTTTGGGTCTTAGAAGAACACTTTTGTTCTTAAGTCATTTTTAAAGAAATATAACGTAATAAGTAAATGAAATGATTTTTGAAGCAATAACAACAAATGATTTACTAAAAAGGAACCATTATATGTCCCTCTCTAGAATCCGACGTAAACTAAAGTTTTATGTAAGGACTTATTGAAACCCCCATAAAGTCATCAAACTTGTATATTGATAGTTCATTCCGCTTGATCACTTCAATAAATCATTTATTATCACATTTCATACATAAATATGTTATAGTTATCCCAAAAAGTTTGATTTATTAGTCTAAAAAAGTAAAAATTTGAGGGAATGAGAGGTATAAATGGACCAAAAGAGACCTTATAATGATGACAAAGAGAACTTGGGAAACTAATCTCGAATTTATTTTGCGCATTAAAATTGTCATACCTTTAAAACTCAACAAGATATTTTAGTAAATTATTTAGCGATAAATCTGCACCAATAATACATTGTGATACTAAAATATTATATTCACACGAGTATGATGGTACAAACATTTATTAACCATAAGTCTCAAAGAAACAGGATTTAAATAAAGAAATATATACACAGAAGGGAATAGTTCTTTAATAGCTATTAATCAGCGATAAACCGACAAAAAGTTAGAAATCCTCCTCACCCTTTTAGAACGTTTCAGAATATAGTACATGCTAAAACAGATGCATTTTATTTATAATTTGAATTGAAAAACGTCGGACGAAGCAGTTGGTATATTCATCAGTTCATCATCATAGAACATGTCACGGTATCTTTCCCCCTATTTAAAGTAAAATGGTTACATCCAATCATAAATTTAATTGTATGGCAGGTCAATAACACGGAAAGGTGTCACAAAATCCAAGTATATATCTGCGTTCATTAGATAACATAATTAAACGGTCGACAACCTGAAAATTAATTTCCTACCTTTATCACATGAATCGCCTTGCCACCCCTTTTTACAACCACCAGGAGGACAGGTCCCTGTAAACCAGCTACATGGCCCAGTCAAACAATTACACTTCATTGTACAGTTGTTACCGAAATACCAATTGTCACAGGCTACAAGATAGCAAGTATATTGCCATGATTATGGTATCTTATTGAAACAATTATAGATATTCTTGTAACCAAGCAATTTGACATGTAATGTAGAAACATTTGCGTTACTACCCTTTCTTGCAAGTTCAAATATGAGCTCAGTGGTTGCTTATTTGGTCAGCATCAACGTCATTAAAAAACTTAATCATATGATCGTTCTTTCGTTATTGTGCATGCTACACGTCGGAAGGTAAAATTATTGATCTTCGTTATTTCCTTGATTAAACTTCTATTACATTACACTCAACAATAAATCTAGTAGTATAAAAACAATAATCATCTAAAAGTCATGCATTTATATGATACTAAAAGGTAATGTAAAGGATACAAATGTTCAACAGCAGTGACATGACCAAGCTTATATAAATTCTTACAATTTCATATATTTCTACATGCTACCGGATTGATTACATGTACAGTCTTGATATCACTATGTCAACCATCGGTAAATTGAAGTAAGCGGGAAGTGAAACAAAGATGTTTTTAATCTCATGCAAGCATCTGATTCCTTACTAAAATGTCTAGTAGGATTAATAAACAAACTGTGTGGACATCGCCAAAATGGTAGCAAGAAATACTGATTCCCTTATTACGATCATCATTCATGTAGAAAAATTACGTAAATGTTATCTTAAACAAGAGTGCACACGCTGAAATGTCTCGCCTTCTTTACTAATCATTTATATTATGTTGATAGTCCTAAATATAAAGCTTTATTACAACTGTCACATACACTTAACATTAACCAAGTAAACTAAACATTGACCAATGAACCATGAAAATGAGGTCAAGGTCAGATGAACCATGCTAGGCAGGCATGTACAGCTAACAATTCTTCCATACACCAAATATAGTTGACCTATTGTTTATAGTTTAAGAAAAACAGACCAAAACACAAAAACTTAACACTGAGCAATGAACCTTGAAAATGAGGTCAAGGTCAAATAAAACCTGCTGACTGACATATAGATCATAAAATATTTCCATACACCAAATACAGTTGAACTATTGCATATAGTATTAGAAAAAAAGACCAAAACTCAAAAACTTAACTTTGACCACTGATCCATGAAAATGAGGTCAAGGTCAGATGACACCTGCCAGCTAGACATGTACACCTTACAATCATTCCATACACCAAATATAGTAGACCTATTCCATACAGTATAAGAAAAACAGACCAAAACACAAAAACTTAACACTGAGCAATGAACCTTGAAAATGAGGTCAAGGTCAAATAAAACCTGCGTGACTGACATATAGATCATAAAATATTTCCATACACCAAATACAGTTGAACTATTGCATATAGTATTAGAAAAAAAGACCAAAACTCAAAAACTTAACTTTGACCACTGATCCATGAAAATGAGGTCAAGGTCAGATGACACCTGCCAGCTAGACATGTACACCTTACAATCATTCCATACACCAAATATAGTAGACCTATTGCATACAGTATAAGAAAAACATACCAAAACACAAAAACTTAACACTGAGCAATGAACCTTGAAAATGAGGTCAAGGTCAAATAAAACCTGCGTGACTGACATATAGATCATAAAATATTTCCATACACCAAATATAGTTGAACTATTACATATAGTATTAGAAAAAAAGACCAAAACTCAAAGACTTAACTTTGAACACTGAACCATGAAAATGAGGTCAAGGTCAGATGACACCTGCCAGCTAGACATGTACACCTTACAATCATTCCATACACCATTTATAGTTGACCTATTGCATATAATATTAGAAAAAAAGACCAAAACTCAAAAACTTAACTTTGACCACTGAACCATGAAAATGAGGTCAAGGTCACATGACACCTACCAGTTGGACATGTACACCTTACAATCATTCCATATACCAAATATAGTAGACCTACTGCTTATAGTATCTGATATATGGACTTGACCACGAAAACTTAACCATGTTCACTGATCCATGAAATGAGGTCGAGGTCAAATGAAAATTGTCTGACGGGCATGAGGACCTTGCAAGGTACGCACATACTAAATATAGTTATCCTATTACTCATAATAAGAAAGAAATTAACATTACAAAAAATGTTGACTTTTTTTTCAAGTAGTCACTGAACCATGAAAATGAGGTCAAGGACATTGGACATATGACAGACGGAAACTTCGTAACATAAGGCATCTATTTACAAAGTATGAAGCATCCAGGTCTTCTAGCTTCTAAAATATAAAACTTTTAAGAAGTTAGCTAACGCCGCCGACGCCGCCGCCGGATCACTATCCCTATGTCGAGCTTTCTGCGACAAAAGTCGCAGGCTCGACAAAAACCAATCTGTTTTTTGAAAGCCCTTTAACTTTATATTGATTTGGCCTTCAAATTGTTTAGATTCTATCTCCACTAATGAGTCTTATGTAGACGTATCGCGCGTCTTGGGAACCAATTATAAACCTGGAACCTATAAAGATTTTTTGTTTTATATTGGTTGAATGTGTTCTATAATTATAAAGAAGACATTTTCTACATTTATCCCATAGACTCTTACATAACAGCTTGATGCCTTGCTTTGCTTTTTTTGTATGCCATTCTGGAGGAGAAAGGAATTTCCATTCAGAACGTTCGTGCAGGAATCAATTTTAAATGTTCGGTTTCAATAAAGAAAAATTATCTCTTCTTATAAAGATGTGTTTGACTATTTCTGGTTTTTAGAATATACAACTTAATGTCCGCTGTTCGATGTCGTATTTCTTTCCATTCGGTCTTTATGTAACCAAATGTTGGAAGAACCTTTCGATCCTAAATTATTTTAGTTGTTTCAGCTATTCTTAAGAGGATCATGTTGAACGACTCTCATTAAGAATTATAAATAATTATCAAAGCCTAAAGTGGAAAACCAGAAATTGGAATTAAGTGAACATTACACAAAGAATGCCTATGAAAACTTAATATCTGGATCATATATGGTTTTATTTAGTTTGATGTTATCTGAAATAGAATACCTATTAGACATCTATTTTTGGAGAAATGGCCGCCAAGTGTTTTTATCATTTCGTTAGGAAAACAAATTGTTGAAAAAACCACAAATATCTGACAATGTATTCCCATTTCGCTCGGCCGTTTGAAAAACAGTTGAAAATGTTTACGTCCAACAACAGAACAAATAGAACAAGAAAAGGTCAATGGACTGACATACTGGGATGTGTAATAGAAAGAATACAGTAATCAAGTCTTCGATATTTTGGAACAAACATGCACTGGTCTATACAAAAACAAAAACCAACGCCAAAATAAAATCAAAGAACCTAGCTATCTTAATTTTAAAACAACATTAAGCAAAACGTTCAACCATTCACAGTTCAAAAGACAGTATCTAGCACAAATGTTTATCTAAAAACTCGAAAATTATAATTATGCCTGTGTACATTGTATTTCAATTTGAGAAAAATACCATGACAAATGTGAAGTTTACACAAACAGTTTTGTTTTCTCTCGAGAGACTTAACTCTACTAGTAACCATGTGTGTGAAAATATAATACGCCCACTGACCATATATAAATATACATGTATTTACTTTTAACTACTGGTATTTATGAACATGTTTAGGAGGTAAGGTAATATGTAAATTGTACGTACTGTTGTTGCAGTATTCATCATAGACATGTACACCTTACAATCATTCCATACACCAAATATAGTAGACCTATTCCATACAGTATAAGAAAAACAGACCAAAACACAAAAACTTAACACTGAGCAATGAACCTTGAAAATGAGGTCAAGGTCAAATAAAACCTGCGTGACTGACATATAGATCATAAAATATTTCCATACACCAAATACAGTTGAACTATTGCATATAGTATTAGAAAAAAAGACCAAAACTCAAAAACTTAACTTTGACCACTGATCCATGAAAATGAGGTCAAGGTCAGATGACACCTGCCAGCTAGACATGTACACCTTACAATCATTCCATACACCAAATATAGTAGACCTATTGCATACAGTATAAGAAAAACATACCAAAACACAAAAACTTAACACTGAGCAATGAACCTTGAAAATGAGGTCAAGGTCAAATAAAACCTGCGTGACTGACATATAGATCATAAAATATTTCCATACACCAAATATAGTTGAACTATTACATATAGTATTAGAAAAAAAGACCAAAACTCAAAGACTTAACTTTGAACACTGAACCATGAAAATGAGGTCAAGGTCAGATGACACCTGCCAGCTAGACATGTACACCTTACAATCATTCCATACACCATTTATAGTTGACCTATTGCATATAATATTAGAAAAAAAGACCAAAACTCAAAAACTTAACTTTGACCACTGAACCATGAAAATGAGGTCAAGGTCACATGACACCTACCAGTTGGACATGTACACCTTACAATCATTCCATATACCAAATATAGTAGACCTACTGCTTATAGTATCTGATATATGGACTTGACCACGAAAACTTAACCATGTTCACTGATCCATGAAATGAGGTCGAGGTCAAATGAAAATTGTCTGACGGGCATGAGGACCTTGCAAGGTACGCACATACTAAATATAGTTATCCTATTACTCATAATAAGAAAGAAATTAACATTACAAAAAATGTTGACTTTTTTTTCAAGTAGTCACTGAACCATGAAAATGAGGTCAAGGACATTGGACATATGACAGACGGAAACTTCGTAACATAAGGCATCTATTTACAAAGTATGAAGCATCCAGGTCTTCTAGCTTCTAAAATATAAAACTTTTAAGAAGTTAGCTAACGCCGCCGACGCCGCCGCCGGATCACTATCCCTATGTCGAGCTTTCTGCGACAAAAGTCGCAGGCTCGACAAAAACCAATCTGTTTTTCGAAAGCCCTTTAACTTTATATTGATTTGGCCTTCAAATTGTTTAGATTCTATCTCCACTAATGAGTCTTATGTAGACGTATCGCGCGTCTTGGGAACCAATTATAAACCTGGAACCTATAAAGATTTTTTGTTTTATATTGGTTGAATGTGTTCTATAATTATAAAGAAGACATTTTCTACATTTATCCCATAGACTCTTACATAACAGCTTGATGCCTTGCTTTGCTTTTTTTGTATGCCATTCTGGAGGAGAAAGGAATTTCCATTCAGAACGTTCGTGCAGGAATCAATTTTAAATGTTCGGTTTCAATAAAGAAAAATTATCTCTTCTTATAAAGATGTGTTTGACTATTTCTGGTTTTTAGAATATACAACTTAATGTCCGCTGTTCGATGTCGTATTTCTTTCCATTCGGTCTTTATGTAACCAAATGTTGGAAGAACCTTTCGATCCTAAATTATTTTAGTTGTTTCAGCTATTCTTAAGAGGATCATGTTGAACGACTCTCATTAAGAATTATAAATAATTATCAAAGCCTAAAGTGGAAAACCAGAAATTGGAATTAAGTGAACATTACACAAAGAATGCCTATGAAAACTTAATATCTGGATCATATATGGTTTTATTTAGTTTGATGTTATCTGAAATAGAATACCTATTAGACATCTATTTTTGGAGAAATGGCCGCCAAGTGTTTTTATCATTTCGTTAGGAAAACAAATTGTTGAAAAAACCACAAATATCTGACAATGTATTCCCATTTCGCTCGGCCGTTTGAAAAACAGTTGAAAATGTTTACGTCCAACAACAGAACAAATAGAACAAGAAAAGGTCAATGGACTGACATACTGGGATGTGTAATAGAAAGAATACAGTAATCAAGTCTTCGATATTTTGGAACAAACATGCACTGGTCTATACAAAAACAAAAACCAACGCCAAAATAAAATCAAAGAACCTAGCTATCTTAATTTTAAAACAACATTAAGCAAAACGTTCAACCATTCACAGTTCAAAAGACAGTATCTAGCACAAATGTTTATCTAAAAACTCGAAAATTATAATTATGCCTGTATACATTGTATTTCAATTTGAGAAAAATACCATGACAAATGTGAAGTTTACACAAACAGTTTTGTTTTCTCTCGAGAGACTTAACTCTACTAGTAACCATGTGTGTGAAAATATAATACGCCCACTGACCATATATAAATATACATGTATTTACTTTTAACTACTGGTATTTATGAACATGTTTAGGAGGTAAGGTAATATGTAAATTGTACGTACTGTTGTTGCAGTATTCATCATACAGATAACCAGGTTCACATCCAGTGGTGTTATAACATAATCCATCAGTGGCTTCACAGCTTTGTGATATACATCCATCACATGGGCGATCACAGTTTCGCCCAAAATAACCCTTACTACATCCTGAAATATTCGTTATATTAGACCTAATTATTAATTTTGTTCTTTTGTTCATTTTAAAGTAGACCAAATCTTTTCCCTTGACCTATATCTTTGGTTCTCCCCTCGAATCATCTTAATTTTCCTGTCTTTTTAAAAGTATATTGCATATGTACATCCTCTTGCAGCCTTATACATCCGATCACATAATTATAAAAATAAGAAATTGTGTTCGTTGTTGTTGTTGTTGGATTAATTCTTGTTGACTTTAATTCATGCCAACTGTTGTCATTATACCTTGTTCACACGGTAGATTTTAAAAACAAAAGAGATGTTTGAGTGTGTGAGGCGGAAATTTATTATTCATTTAAATACTTCGGATGACATAAGGAACATCATTTATAAAACGATGTACTATTCCAGTAAATCAATTGAAATAAAAAAGTTGGTGCAGTACAGTTGCAACCGCTAATGTCAATTGAATATTATATACTATAACATTACTAAAAAGAATAGATTATATCAATGCAATGCAATAGAAACAAAACTTTTAAAATTAACCTAAATATTAAGCTAACACGCCAACGAAAACGCATATTATGGGATCCGTTGATTGTAAAAATAGTCACTTCTAGTTGTCCAACACAATTAACAAAAATGATGGTGAAATTAATTTTTGAATTTCATATTTAAGGCACGATAATTGATAATTTAATTTTAGTAAATTACATCACATAATGAAGCAGTGTTTGGTGTAAAATGTGGGAATACAATATTGTCTGTGCTAAACCAAGTTCTGAATTTATTGATTTGAACTGTAAATAAACAAAAAGATATTTCCTCACTAAAATGTTGCATACAAGCAGAACATGAAGGATTGCACATGAACATCGAAACAGTTATGTATATTTAAATTTTATACTTTCTTAGATATAGCATATAAAATATTCGAAAAATAGTAGTACAAATGTAAAGAATATACATAAATATCGTTAAAAAATTCAGCGTTTGTGACTTTAAATTAACTTTTCTCGGAATCCTGTCATACGAATTTCGTTAAAAAATATATGTTATTGCTACTGAAATTTCCGTTTTATTGATATACAATTAATAGGGGGTCCCCGAATTCGTTTTTTGAGTATGAATTGTTGAATTTTCTTTACAGCGTGGAAAAAGCGTAGAAAAGGCAAAAATAACCGTGACGTCGTCGCTAGAAATGTTATTTTTCGACGTTATTAGATATTACAAAGAGACTTGAATGATTTATACTGCTATATTGTTTTTTAATTAAACGGAAATTTTAATGGCAGTAACATATCAATTTTAAAGAAAATTGATAGGACATGTTTTTGAGGAAAGGCAATTTGAAATATTTGAAATATTTTTTTCTATATTTACGTGTATCCTATACATGTGTACTCCGTTCTACAGAATATTCAATTTGCTATATATCCGAAAGTATATAAGTTTCTTAATATATAATTTTTCGATATCCATATGCAGTTCCACATGCTCAAATTGCTTGCAAAAAATCATAAAAATCCGTGAGATTGCCCATTACGTACATTTTACCTTAAATACAATCTGTTTAATTTTTGCAGATAATAATTTGAAAGTCTTTAAATCACTACGACTAATTCATGAATGAAATGTCAATGGGAAATCATACATTAATTATAAGCATTGCACTGGCAATGAAACGAATTCTTTATTAAAGCCAATTAATAGATCGTTTGAGCCTTGAACACCTTGCAATAATCTAAGTTTGTACGGGAATGAAAATTCATATTTTCATGATTAGTACTCGCAAACGCTCGAACTTAATTATGAAGAAAGGGATTATCATTCCCTTACATATACATAATATTTTCCGTCTTTTAATGGATTGTACATGCATTCATAGTTTATGCTACCAGCATTGTTTGATTACTTTGACCTTTTTTTTCAAACGGCAAATTTTTTATTCACGAATAAATTACCGATGAAAATAAGTTAAACGATTGATTATATAGATTCTCCAAAGCTGGTCTATAAAGATTCTAGACGGAATATCTAGATTTGCAAAAATTCACAAACGTAAAAAAAACCAACATTATAGAATTGTTGGTTTGAAACTCTTTTGTATCTTGTGGGGGAAGACAGCACTTTTACATTGAAGTTAATTGCATTAATTACTTCAAATGAAATGCTTTCTTACACTTTTGAAATTTAGATCAGTAAGCATGTTGGAATTATAATGTACCGAACCTGGAAATGTAGATACGATCCAGGTAAACTTATCGATCCTTTAAAAAAACTTATTCTAAAAGGTTATCAATTCAACACTGTAATTAATTCTTTGAATATTGTTTTCATTGGTATACATATTGATTTTGTTATCAGTAAATGTAAATCAAACGAAATATTATTGTTATATACATAAACTATGCAAATTCATGGCTTTACAATCTGTCGATATCTGTAAATTGAACAAGATCATATTTCTCTATGACTGTAAATGGCGTCTTTAGACTGAATCCATTGGATGTTGGATGTGAACTGATTGATATTTTAGTCTTAGATACATAATTTTTTTTATTAGTTGTTATTTGCTTTGAACTAGCTGTCAATAACTGCGAGTACTCTCAGATCTGAACTTAGTGTCTTTTTTGTTGTGGAGATGTATGAATACCCTACCACGTCCGGTCTGTGTTTTTTATTAGATGTTTTTCTTTTTTGATTTGATCGCATAACGTTTTTGTTTTTGTTAAGAAGTTAGTTTGTTAAAATCCGGTCGAAAATGTTTTCGTAACATTAGTTTTGTCTGTCTTGCCATATTTGTTTCATTTGGTCATTGAACTAATATCTTTCTTCTTGTTAAACTACTTTTATTATTATAGTTTATGACTTTTTCAGATGGTTTAGTGTTTAAAACTTTTTGTTGAACTTAAGGTGAGGTTTGTTTTATTAACATTGATTAAGGTAAATTGTCTTGCGTTGCTGTCTTGAAATGTGAATAGAAATAGTAAAAAAAAATTCAAACAAAGCAATCAAGCAAAGTGTCTCAGATTTCAACAACTTTTTGTATATATTAAAAAAAAAACATCAGAAATACCGACATGTTTCGTGAAAGATAAATGTCGCATTCATAGGGTTTTGAATTTAAATTTACATACATTCAATTGGCTTGGTTAATTACACGTATCATTTTCTGACAACGACAAAAATAAGTTTCTTACTCTGGTCACATGATTTGCCATGCCATCCTTCTTTACAACCTCCAAGTGGACATATTCCGTCTACTTTGTTGCAGGGTTCGACTAAACAGTTACATTCCATTAAACAATTATTCCCAAAATACCAATTATTACATTCTAATGGACGAAAAAATACAGATTTCAAACATAAATGAAAATTATATATAGTAAACGATATGTATAGAAGGTCTGTTTGGAACAGAAATACCCCTCCCAAGTCAGTCGAACCGACGCATTGACTGCTAAATCAAGGTATTATGTATAAAAACTTGAAATTAAGTTAAGTTTATAGCCGATTGGTCTTTTTCATACCTATAGTTTTTTTTTTCACCAACACTGAGGCAGCATCAACTTTACAAGGCCAACGTATTGCATGAAACATGACTTACTTGTATATTCATAACAAGGTCAAACAAACGTTTCCCTTTTTTTTTTTTTAAATTGCATAAGATAGGCAGCTTGTTGAATGTACTAAGTATAAAATGATTCATTTGGAAGCCCACATGTACAGTCATGAATAGGGATGTTAAAGAGTACTCGAGTACTCGAGTACTGCTCGCTAGTACCGAGTATCTTATACCAAAATGATACTCAACTAATCGGTTTCATGTTAGAATGTTATTGCCTTCTCTAAATGAAATTGATTTTATGTAGAGCGCATCTCGGGAAATTAAATAGTATTCTTTGATAAAACGACATTATAATACGTTTCGAATGTTCGCGCGTAATTGTCATTTAAGAATTCTCCTAAAAGTGATGCGATATGCACGAGAGCAGCTTTCTTCGGTTGAAACTTTTGGCTAAATGTGTCCTAACCATTCCAACACTGCTGTGCATTCAAAGAAAAGGTTTTCGTCTGCAGAACTGTTAGTTGCGTTACATATCTGAGAAGCCGACTCTGAAATAGTTGACAAGATTATATTTCTAAATAAGTACAAATTCGTTGCATCTTGTAGTGACCCTCAGAGAATAGTCAAAAGATTCTGTACGTTCTTAAAGAGAGGCGAAAGATACCAAAGGGATATTCAAACTCACAAGTCTAATCATCACCCCTTTGTTAAATGTGTTTCATCTTTCCATAGACACGGTAGGTATAGTGTCCGGCGGAGATCGTGTTTTTTCGAGTGAATCGGTCCACTTATTTCGAGTGTAGATCGGGTTTTTTCGAGTGATAACACATGTGATCAGTTCAATTAACTACTATTTCGCAATTAAAATAGTTTTATTCATGACCGTTCATGTTATTTTGAATACGATACAAGTTTTGAGCACAAAAGACTCACAATTTCGTTGTATTGAACCTAAAATTCAGTTATTTACAATGTCCGTGTTTTTTCAAAAGCAACAGTTAAAACGTTTAAACAAATTGTCCGGGTTTTTTTTAAGAACATGTGAATAAGAAAGAAGACCTTCTTTGGCTTTAAACTGACTTTTCCTAGTTTGTAACTGTGGACAATATTATATATTCTGAATAAGTCAAAAAAACAGATTACTATGTTGATCAAATTTAACCATTTTCAATTTAATGACAACGTTCTGTTCTGAAAACATTTTACCATAACCTAGCAGTATTACGATATATAAGAAATCATTGGGTCCGTTTTAAAACGGTATTAAGAACCGAGTACAGGGACTCATAATCTTTTTTATTTATTGCATGCTGTCTTTGGTTTTACAGTCAATAATATTTTATGATTCATATATATTACAGTGACGAAAAAACATAGGAGCAAGAAAACTAAGGAAATGGAGTAAACAGTCAGAAAAAATCAATATAAACCCAAATATTCTACTAAAAGAGCCCCTTCCCCTCCCAAAAAAAACAAACAAAAAACAAAAAATTAAACGTAAATGCACTGACATACGTTTTAAGCCAAAGGAATTTTGTTTTTTCACTCGATAAAACAAGGACACACTCGAAAAAACACGGACTGCTCTCGAAAAAAACACGGACATATAAAAATCAATTTACTCTCAAAAATGTCATTTTCAATGCGAAAACAAAAAAATTTGTAAAGTGTCTATATATCTAAGTATACATAGATTCCAGTATTACGATATATAAGAAATCATTGGGTCCGTTTTAAAACGGTATTAAGAACCGAGTACAGGGACTCATAATCTTTTTAATTTCATTGCATGCTGCCTTTGTTTTTACAGTCAAAAATATTTTATGATTCATATATATAACAGTGACGAAAAAACATAGGAGCAAGTATTACGATATATAAGAAATCATTGGGTCCGTTTTAAAACTGTATTAAGAACCGAGTACAGGGACTCATAATCTTTTTAATTTCATTGCATGCTGCCTTTGTTTTTACAGTCAATAATATTTTATGATTCATATATATTACAGTGACGAAAAAACATAGGAGCAAGAAAATGGAGTAAACAGTCAGAAAAAATCAATATAAACCCAAATATTCTACTAAAAGAGCCCCCCCCCCCCCTAAAAAAAAATAAATAAAAAAATTAATTAATAAATTGCAATAACATTTGAATTGAATGGAATATCTAATAAAGATTGAAAACAACACTTTATAATTTGATTTTATATGACCAAAATGACCTAAAAATTAGCGAAATCAATCTAAGGTCAACTTTGCCTGATGGAGTTGAAACCTTAGCCTCTTTATAATTTTTAAATCTATAAACGGACAATTCTTAATGATTCATTGTTGATTGCCTAACGTCCAGTGGCACAATGTGTCATGCAGGTTCCGGACGAGAACCAATTTACAGTAGATCCAATAAGTAGGTACTGTAACAGAGGACGTTCGGGGTAAAGGTCGGGAAATTTAGACTGTCACTGAAAATGAGAGTATTTTGGATATGGACAGAAATTTTGCCTAGCAACAATCCACATTTGGACCATTTAAAAAGCTGTTGCAAGTGTTCTTAACGTGCTATGAGCGTAGCACTCTCTCTACACGCCGGGCGGCGCCCCCATTCTGCCTGGACCTGGCTGCATACTTGAACATCCCATACAACCAAACGGACGTCTCACTTTGGCAAGGGTCGGTCGGAAGAGGACTTACGTGACCATATTTCTATTTCCCTGTCCCCCTTAGAGGTAAATAATTTTAGAAAGGTTCGTTATTAATCATGTCAATACCGAAGTATTGACTACTGATCTGATAATAAACTCGGGGACTTGTCCAATGTATTCAATAAACAACGAAAAAAATAATCTTTAAGCTTCAATACGAAATTAAGACTGTCACTGAAAATGAAAGTATATTGAATATGGACAGAAATTTTTGAAATAATAATAATGATAAAAAAATTAGATTAAAAATATCTATATATATATAGAAATTTGGCAAAAAAAAAAAAAAAAAAAAATCCAAGTGAAGAAAAAAATATTCTCAAATATTCCCCAAATAATAAAATTTTTAAAATTTTCAACAAATAAAAAAAAAAAGATAATATTTGACAGTGTTGAAATATGTGTAGTGGAAGTTGGTCATAAGATTTTTTTTCAATTTGATCCCCGGGAATAAAAAAAAAGTAAACGAACGCTAAGTAAGAAATATATTCGTTATCCTGGTGCAATCAGGGTGTACGAAATTTTACACCGGTGTTGAAAATGCATACGACCTTCGGCTGCGCCTCAGGGTGTATAGATTTTTAACACCTGTGAAAAATTCTGTATACTCCTGATTACACCAAGATAGCTAATATTTCCATCAAGACAAATAGTAAATGAAACATTAAGGATATATTTTCTGTAAAAAACACATTTACCCGCTTTATATTCTATGCGTACGTACGTCTCAGTCCAACATGTCTGAGCTCACATAAAGATTTTTTACGTCACGAAATATTTACTGTATGAAATCCATATCGGTACACTAACATGAAGATTTCAGAATGCAAATGAACGATGACTTTTTATTTAAATGTACGTGTTAATACAGCATTATCAAACAGGTTAAATGCATTGTTTCGTGTTTTGAAAAGTACTTTATTTGAACCTTTTCATTGTTTTTCAAACGTAAATGCACTGACATACGTTTTAAGCCAACGGAATTTTGTTTTTTCACTCGATAAAACAAGAACATACTCGAAAAAACACGGACTGCTCTCGAAAAAAACACGGACATATTTTCAATCTCTAAAATGTCATTTTCAATGCGAAAAAAAAAGTAAAGTGTCTATATATCTAAGTGTACATAGATTCCATGTGCACATTTCTGTTGACATTTGCATTGGTACATTTGTATGTGTATAAAAATGGCTTTAATCTATATTTTGGAATAAAGCATTGTAAGGCTAAATTGAACGAATTTAAAACAAAAATAATGTAGGATTGATAATATAATTATATCAAAAATACTAATTTACCTTCAATGTTCTTGTATATAAGGTTCTAGCATCTTTTTTTCACGTTTTACCAGAAAGGAAGTCTGTTTGTTTACATTTTTGATAATATTCACTCGAAAAAAAGTGGTCACACTAAAAAAAACCCGATCAAATCACTCGAAAAACCACGAAACCCAGCCGGATACTATACCTACCGTGACAGGTCTAAATTAAATTATTGATTACGTGTAGTAATTATATATTAATGAGCTATTAACTATGGTATGAATTTTTACTTCCATTTGACAACGACCCACCATACGTAAAATGGGTATAATTTTGTGTTGCATTTTGTAAATATTTGTCCGAGTACTATAAATTCTATGTTTTGCTCGGTAAAACCAACGAGTGCTCGATTAGTAATTATTCACTGAATTTACACCCCTAGTCATAACTAGTGTGTTCTGTTTGAATTTTAACAAATAATTAAGAACTAGATCTCCCTTTCTCTGATAAAGAATGTTCTTAGAATGCATCAACATGATTTTTCTTGGTCATGCTAAATGCTGTAGGGAATCTCGTGCCAATTTAATACTGATCGTAAAAGTACCTTGATAGGGGAGGTGTGAATCAGTTGTGGAATAAAAATATTTGTTTAAAGAGTATGAACAATAAATACCGTTGTTTCGTGTAAACCAATTTAAACTGTTAACTTATTTAATTACAATTAACACATAGATTGTTTTTATTCTTAAATAAGAATTCCATGGTTTTGAGTGGTTTTACACTAGTAATTTTTTGGGGCCTTTTATATATTGCTGTTCGGTGTTGAAGGCCGTACTTTGACCTATAATGGTTTAATTTTACAAAATGTGACTTGGATGGAGAGTTTTCTCATGGGCACTCATACCACATCTTCTTATATTTATCATAAATACTATTTAAAAAATCAACTAAGTCTGTAATACGTTATTATTTCGAAATTTGTTAAAATAATGGTAATAAAATGATGTCTGTTGTGTCATTAGCTTTTTGTTGACACTAATGTCCTTGGGCAAGGAAATGCGTCTGCAGAATTCTACTTTCTTTACCAAAGAAGACATTTCATGCAGTCAATTGGACTTCCAATAAAATGTCCTGAATCAGGCCTGTTTCGGCGAAGTGGTGTGCTCATACCGTGAAACTAATTCAGTACGAGAGAGAAAGACCCTTGTTGAGAATTTTTATTTCGAAAATACACAATACTCACATGCAGAATCGGACTCAATAAAGAATCCGGTATCTGGAGTCGACATGGTTCGGTTAAATGCAGTGGTAATTCAAATACGCCTATAAGGGAAATGCTATCGGGCTTTCCAATTAGTTTTGTTAAGCTAGCAATTCGGTTTTGTCAGAATTCGGTTTGGACAATTTTAACTGCACCACTGTTCCTAACTAAACACTAACTTTACAATCGTTTACAAGGTAATAGCTGCATACCCGGAGATGCTTACCTTTCTAGTTTCAGTCTTTGTATAGGTCAATGTTTTTTTTCACATTATGCTTTATTTTATCACCTTGCACTTTCACGACTTGACTGTGGTTTTCTACAGCAGTTTGTTAAAATTTCTGACCAGTTGAACAGTTTGGTTTGATAAAACAAATTGCAATTTGGTCAGAATTTTGAATTAACTGCAATACGTGGAGAGCAACATTCACAGTCAAGCCACAGTAAAAGTGTGTGATGTTTTCAGATTTTGTCTTAACAAACTTGATAGAAAGAACAAACATGATCACATAATACATTTGTATACTTCAAAATTGATTCTTAAGTGATAACAAAAATTACATGCTTTTCATTTAATTGTTTCATTTTCATTAATGGTTTCTTCATTTGGTAAAACAAATTTCTAAAAGTACAGACACTACTGCTATAAACATACCTAAAATACGCAAAGCTTGCATTCGATATATTAAAATCGGCAATTTGTTGCCAGAGTCTATCTTTTTTGACATTTGTCGTCAATTTCGAATTAAGTTTTGGACTTTCAATTATGCTTGTTTCCAGCTTCACCAAAGAGACATGCATTGTCGAAATATGAATCTTGTGCAGTTAAATTGGAAACGTTTATGCTATTCAAAAGCCAAATGCATTTATGTCCAGCTCAAGCTGTTTCGGTTGAGAAATACATAAACTAACCATCAAGACTTATAACGACTTCAATTTATATTTAACGATTTAGCATCTGCCAGTCTTTTTACGCGTACATACACTAGCGGTATCTTCTTCGAAATTAGTGTCACTATTTTGTTGACGTAAACTGTTCAACATGTTCAAGTCTATGAACAATTTTAATGCCGCACTTTACATACCTTTGTTGCAATACTTCCCGTATACATAACCAGGCTTACAGACCGTTGTGTTATCACATAAACCATCAACATGATCACACATATAAGATAAACACCCCTCACATAATTCCAAACATTTGGTCCCAAATTGACCATTAGGACATTCTGAAAAAAATGTGTAAAATGTAAAATCAGTACGCATAGAATTACAAAGAACATCATTCGTTCTAGTCAACGAACACTGCATTTTTAGATATATCAATTTTACAATATGCAAGTTTTTGCATTTCATATTTGTTTTCTTATTTTGGAAGTTGGAAGAAATTCTCAAATTACATTCATTAATTGAAATTGATAAGTTGGATTGCTTATCGGATGCGAACGATTATTAAATACATTTCAATCAAATAACCCTCAGAATAATAAATGAAATTGAGCACGACATATTTCCATTTATTTTTAAAAGTTAATGTTATGTAATTCAGTGATCTCATTATCATACATTTTCCTTTTAAGTAATAAAAAGAAATTCGATTGATAAAAATTGTTCTTTGAAAATCAGAAACAAACTTTGGGTACAATTAAACCCCTGCCATCCGTCTTTACATCCATCGATGCATTCTCCAGTCACGTGATTACATTGTGGATTTAAACAATTTGCTGAACATTCCTCAAGACAGTCTTGTCCGTATCTACCACCATTACATGCTGTAAAATACAGTTATTTGTTTTACAACTGATTGCATAGACATTTACATGATATACTTTAAGAAACAACGTTCTCCCTTTTAATATACATGTAGGACTCTGAACCGCGATGGTACTTCGAACCGCGATGGTCACGTTGAAGTGCGATGGTCCACGCTTAAGTGCGTTGATCAACACACTGAAGTGCGAAGGTGATATTGTGACGCTAACTTGTTATTAAATACGCTGAAGTGCGTTGATCGCTACTCTGATTCACGATGGTCTATCTGTGACGTTGTGTATACTAGCTAAATGCGATGGTCTGAAGTTAAAACCCCATGTAATGTGGCGGTGTAGTGGTAAGCGTGCTAGACTTGCATTTGGAAGATCAAGTTTTATTTCTGGTCAGGTAAAACCAAAGACTTTAGTTTTTGATTTGCTATTTATTCGCTAAGCACACACCAGTATGGAGTCATAAAATAGACTGGATGGCTCAGATTAAGTATAATGGATTCGAGTTGGAAGACATGTCTTTATATTGATTGAGTGTTCAAGTGCTATACAAAATTAAAAAAAAGCGGATTCAGCGCAGCGGTCTATAGTACTAACTTAGCAGGATATGTTTGATTTTATCAAATATACTAGTAACTTGTTCTGGTCATGTCATAGGTAAGAAATTGCTAACATCACTCATTCATCTATTTATCTGATATCATAACAGTTTTTAAGAAATAAAAACCGCCAAGTACATTTATGGCTGACTCATAGTGAGACGTGACGCTTGTTCTGTCAAAACTTGAGAATTAGCTGCTTCTCCGCTGAGCAGCAGAAATTGAGAAGTACACCAAGTTGGGACCATTAGGGTTTATTTTGGTCTAACCAACTGCAGAAAATTAATACTGTAATCACAATAAAATTACTAAGATTGCGGGTTTTCTTACAAAGCAGGATTCATCTCAAAAATTAAAAAAAGTTATCGCTACTTGATATAACGAAAACATTGTTAATAATTTATTTTATTTTATCATTTAGTTGTCCACACAAAATCATGTGATGTATACTTAAAGCTTGGACTATTAAACTATGTTAGTATACTAGTCCTAGCTTAAAGAGAAGTTAAATTAATATTTAAATCAAGACATTTTATTTGTCTAACAAAACGTTTCGGCATACAGAGGCGGATTTTGAGGAGTGCCAACAGGGCCCGGCCCCTCTCCTTTTGTGGGAACAAATTGGTTGATTATATAGGGAACTACTGAAGCATGACTGGAGCGGGCCCCCTTTTAGGCAGACAGCCCAACCCCCTCTTTATGCAATTTCTGGATCCGCCACTGACATACATTAGACATGCTTTAGAACACTGGTTAGCCTATCTGCCGACCAAGATCATCTTTTAGCCGCCGTTTGCTGTCTGACTTAGTTTTACATATGTTTGTAACCTTCCTTTGTACGCATGAAACCTTCATCTACAAATCTTATTCTCCTGTCTGTGAATCCATTTAGTTTAATAACGTTGTATTTAAAAACGTCACAATATCCAAACGTCATGCAAAACCATCGCACTTCAGCGAAAGGACCATCGCACTTCAGCGTAGACCATCGCACTTCAGCATGATTATCGCACTTCAGTGTCCCCATCGCACCTCCGAGACCTACATATATATACGAGCATAACTTAACTCTTCCAAGTAAGGAATATGACGGTTGTTTTTTCCATTAGTTTGATGTGTTTAAGCTTTTTGATAGGGAATTTTCGTTTTGAACTTTCCTTGTAGTTCGGTATTTTTGTTATTTTACTTTTAAGATATAAATGCACTAAAACTGTATTCTTATAAGTCAAATTAACACAAAAAGTCATGTTCACAATGTTTCTCCTACCGGTTTCATATTTGCGAGATAATCATGGTTGTCTGTAAAAAAAATACGCAAATTAAGCAAAAACTTGGACACATTTATGAAAGCTATATTCCTAATTGTAACAACACATTGATAATGTTACGTCACAGCTAACATGCACATTTTAAACCAAAATAATGAAAATTAACTGTAAAAATAAAATGTGTCTCGACAAACAAAAGCATACAAAACATTAAAATCTAAAGACTGAGCAACACGAAATCCACAAAAAAAAAAAAAAAAAAAAAAAAAAAAAAACACGGAGGTGATCTCAGTTGCTCCAGAAGGATAAGCAGATCCTGCTCCACAAGTAGCACCCGTGTTGCTGATGTTAGAACAAATCCGGTAATAAGTCTAATTCGGTGAAAAGAGGATGAGAATGTGGCTACATGTACGACAATTGGAACATATCCGTCATCATCAGTGAAACGGATATTCCATAACGATTAACCAACTCGTGATGGCGTCCGTAAATTTTTCGAAAGGAAGGTTTTAATTTCACCACTTAGAACTCTTGGTTTAATAGCTTTCTTGTAAGCAGCAACCCTCTATGAAGGAAATCATGAGATGAGATGCAATCCCTGGAATATCGTATCATCTTGGAGATATATACTCCATATGCAGGCGCTGCTGAAATATTGCTACATAGAGATGAAAATTCACAATTGGAAAGTTTAACTCATATCTTTTTGTTTGTAAAGTTTTCTTCTCAAACGACCCTCACTGTCAATTTCTAGATGTTAGTCAAGATATGAGGCAGACTTAATAATGTTTCTGACAGATATTGTTTTCTATATAAAAAAATGGTTATCCGGCAAATGTGGGTGCAAAACTATTGGTTGTTGTCGTTTCAATTTTTTCAGCTTCGAAACTTACAAAAAATACCTTCTATAAGTATGAGTTTGTTGTCGGTAATATTCATATTTGGTTTGGAGGTCAGAGTTTACAAGTGATCAAAATTTTAAAAACCCGTTGACGATATGTGTTATGTAGGAGTATTTCTGCACTATTAATTAGACAAATTAAGCATGAATGGTCGAATGTTGGATATGTAGTCTTGTGTCAGCCTTTAGTTTAGCGAGAACACGCCGCTTATGGTGGGATTCGTTCTTCTCAGTCCAGTCTTTATATTTCGAGTTCATGTTTTTCAGACTCTTTTATCGTCGTTATTTTTGTTGCAATGAAATTTCGCCTTCCCCTTGATTTACAATGTTTGATAGTCCTTTTTAGTGCTTTCTGCCACTTTTTGGAGTTTCGTACTGAAAATAATCAGATAAACTCTCTCATTGTCGAGGCTGCTAGAATACCGTATTGGCATAAATGAATTCAAAATTTATTGGAGTTGTTTTTCAAAATTCAAAAATGACGGAATAGATCCAAATTATTGTGGCCAAACTGCAATGCAATATTATAAATTCGTCAAAAATATGTTTTATACCTTGTTCACATGTATAACCAGTCCAGCCGTTAAAACATCCAAAAATACAATTCCCGGATTCAAGGTCACATGGTCCTTGACAGTTTTGTGGGCAAGAGTAAGTACAAACAGGACCATAGTGTGTAGGCGGACAACCTAAAAAAGGTAATCGAAATAGCCCATGTCACTAAGTTGGATAACATATATTCTGACTACATAGTAGCTCTTCATAATAAGAATTGAAATGAATGACTATTTAATTTCAGGTGCATGTTAGGGTTGATGTCTTAAATATAGATTCTACCATTGCGTCGAGTGTGATACGATATTTATCCACTCGAGACAGTTAAATTTTCAAATTTAAAACGCGAGACTCGCCGAGCGTTTTAAATATTTAAAATTTAACTGTCGAGAGTGGATAAATATCGTATTACACGAGATTTGGTGGTGGAATCTGTTTCTCTAATGATTTTCAAACAATACGCAGGTAAATTTATTCCTTCTTTTCGAATGATCTGCAAAAAGATGTGTTCTTTCTATGTGACGTCATCAGGCATGGTCGCCTTTTTTCATGCCGTCACAATAGGAAATTCAGAGGAAAGCAAGAACATTCGACGTCATAATCGGATTTTAATCAATGAAGAACTGAGATCAAACGAACCACACGTTGATTAAATTTTTTTTATACAATGGGTGCAGAAAGGGATAAATTGACGAAGAATTAGAGAATATAGTATATACAACACCTCTTTCTTGTAATACGTATGCAATGCTGTTTCTCACTAGCAAACAAAACTCAGCAGTGGTTATCCATTCAATTGTTGTTTAAGTAAGTTGCTACTTCATTTTTTTCGAATTAGACAGAGTTGTAGTTTCTAGTTTGTGGCAGATCAAACAAAACACGTGTATGATAACTACATAATTATATGAAATGTTGGGTCCTCAATTCTCTCCAACTTCGTACTTTAAATGGTTTTAACATCTTTGACTCTAACGTCACTGATGAATCATTTTGTAGCAGAAACGCGCGTTTGACGAACAAAATTATAAGCCTGGTATCTCGGATAAGTTGTTTTAAGGATATCGTGCTAGAAGTATGAAACTTTAATTCTGATACTGTACACATCAATTTTATCTATGTGTTCTACTGATTTTAACGTCAGGCCAACCTTAAAAATATGTTTGTTTGCAGTTTTCCGACTGTACCTTCAGACTGCAGGGTCGGTAGGTAGGAAAAATATTTTATTTTATCAGCCAGAATAAAGTTTAAACAAGCAGTTTAACACAAACCAAGATTCTTGTGAAGAAAAAACATTTTGAAACATCAAACACTGAAAACCAACATGAAATGAACAGGCATTTTCAGGTAAACAACTTTTTAACCAAAACTGAAACTTAACATAGTGTCATTATACAATTCATGACATAAATTTATGGTATTATGAGATACTGGAACACTTATAAACAAGGAATGACTAGAATTGTTGTAAAGAAACATATTCACTGACATATATGCATCTTTACTAGAATGTTTTCATGAGAAGAGTATTTGCATCAGAAATATGTAGATATTAAAGATTCAAAAGACAATTTAGGAGTGTGTTAAAAAAAAAATCAACCATTGAATCTTCCTCAATTGAAAAAAAGACAACTTAAAAAAAAATATATTAAACATCTGACTGTTATAAAGGTTATATTTGGAAAGATATGTTGATGCCAGGCTTTAATTAAAACAAACAAAAATCTTAAGACTAGCTTTGGGGTGAAATCCATAACACCCCATTAAAAGTAAATGGTCTGTACTGAAATGTTTTGACTGCATAAAAAAATTGACAGCATAGCTCCTAGCTAAGGACATATTTCAATTCAATTCACACAGGCCACACAGTTTGGGTATATTTAATATTGTAAGAGAGAGAATAATTGCAATGAGTGGGACAGCCCCCCTTATCCTAAAGGAGCATGCTCATTGCAATCGAAGATATATTGATACAGAGAGAATACATTTATTTCTCAAGCCAACGATTCATTTTCTCTACATCTTTGTGTAGTTTCTGGGGCTTCTTATTGATTTAACATTTCAAATGCGTCCTTCCACAGTACAGGCGTGTTTACAGGTATCCATGAAGTCATGGAGGAGTGGTTCCATCTTTGTCGTCTTCATGACGATTTAAAGAAAATATGGCATACTTTAGGCTGCTGTCAAATTGTTGAACCACTGATATTGGTTCCATAAAGTCAGTCTCAAAAGATTCTGTATCCGATTTGTTTGAGACAGAAAGGGTTATCCTGTCGGTTTTATGAATATCCGCTGCATCATCTTCAATGGTATCATCGAAAAAATCATTCCGTGTGCAATTCTGCCTAAATCAGTATAAACAGTTTACTATGAAACTTTTCTGTGTATTATTTGTCTTAAAATTGACAGAAGACGACAGAATAAAGTACTGCTCCATGACTTCGTGGATACCTGTAAACAATCTCCATGTGCTTTACCATTAAAGTGTCCGATGAACGCTTGATAGGAAGGAAAGAAAAACCGAACTTCAAACATGTAATTGGCCTAGACCTGAAATCAATTCCGGAAACGACCCGAAATTCCGGATCGAGTCAAAAGAAGTATTAAAAATAATTTCTTCAAATTAAAAGCAATAAAATGTTCACAGTCGGGCGGATTTTCGAAGGTCGGTCGGTAAACTGCAAACAAACAATATTTTAATTTAAGCCGACATACTAATTTATATTTTCTGCATGTGTTCAAAAGCAACATGATTAAAACTAATTACTGGACAGCTGCTCCACGCGTTCCTAATAAATTAAAAAAAAAACGAATATTTAAATCCATAGCTGAATCATCACATTACTTTACTGACAGTGCTTGCAAATTGTAAAAGAGTTAACTATAAACAACAGCCCAAGTTGGAGTCTTGTCGACGTTGTTATTACCTCGTAATTCCCAAAGTACGTTGAAAGAGAGAATTTTCAAAATGCAAAGGTAATACGCATTGTTTATGACAACATTTTCGCTAAACAGTTGATAACAATACATTTTTATATATATATTATTTGGATATATTAACTGAACACCACATGTAGAAAGCATCTTCAATATACTGTAAACGTGGATATTGTTGCGATTTGAATTCTTTTTGGGCATTCAAATACAAGGACGTGTCTTGATATAAATAAGAACTTCCTCATCGAATATGCACTTGCAACATATAAACATATTGAAATCTTAATGTTTTATTTTAATAAAATCACTCACCAACAACCCCAATTTCACATAATTCAAGCATAGCATATGGATGTTGAACTCGTGATACAAAAGTTAAGTATCTGAAAACAGCAAAGAACCCGATTTCAGTAGGGAAAGATTTTCCATCATATAAAACAGTTCCATTTTTCCAGCCAGAGCTTGTGTTCGAAGCGTACACGGAATGATTACCCTCTGTTATAGTATGTTCTACAGTTAGAAAATTAACAGTCTTACTATCGAATGGAACTAAACATAAACTAATTACTGCTTAATTGTTATGGCCACAATGGAGACTTCATAGAAGGAATTCTCAAGAAAATAAAAGATCATACTAGGTTTTGGTTAAAGAGTATTTGAAATCCTTAAAATCTGTTAAAGGATTTCAAATGTTCATTGAATCGTAAAAAAACTATTTTCCTTTAGTTATTTTTTAGATGCCTTGTTTTTCAATGGCTTCAAAAAGTACAGATCAAATCTAAAATTATAAATGTATTTCACTCATAAGGATCCTTTTCAAAATCGTTTGACCATGTTTAATCCCATCCACAAGCCTTTGAAGCCATATTACTTTATTTTAGTATGATATGCAGAGTATTGAGTATTGAAATTTATTAGTTTGAGTCCTCCGCTGTCAAGTAAGTGGTAGGTTTGAATAAGTCTAATAATAATAAATAAGATAAAAAACCTGAACAAATTAAGTCAGAAAATGTCAGGGAATAACTTGGCACAAAACAGATGACTAAACATTATATTATTGCACTGAGTATGCTTTGCTTAATGTAATCTACTATTTAGCACAGCTGCCGTTTAGTTTTTAATATGTTATGACAGTATTTTTTTAAATATGCGTCAAAACATTTAAGTCTACCGTAATGAACTGAAGGACATAAAAAGGGGTACATGGTATAGCATTACATCCACAATCCAAGAAAACGAGTAAACTATATTAAGTATTAAACATTTAAAAAAACAATCCAACGGTCTTAATTTGTATATGTTTCGGCAAGTAAGTATCACCCGTCAAATAACGAGCTCCAAATTTTCCCAAATATATATCGAAATTTGGAACAATGCTAAGACTTGGACAATTTTTGCGGTGGACTAATTAATTGGCACTAGCATATGGATACAAATGAATGGATTTGTTAATAAAAGGACAATGCATCTAAATATATTAATATATTCTTACATAAGTTCTTACTTAATTTATATACCCTTGTACAGATGTATTCTATACAAAGATCTAAAAAATATTTTAACGATAAATGACGTTGACACAATACTTGGATTAAAAACGACATTAGATTAATTAAGTGTTTCTTTGAGTTGATATCCACAGTATTCATTATATTATTTTTTTCTAATAACTAACCTACCACCAAATGTAATTAATATTCCTGTTACAATGCTTGCTTTCTTCAGATCAACCAGAAATGTTACATTTTTTCCAAGTGTTCTAGAACATGAAGTTTTATTTCCGTCAGCTATGCTAGCTACTGCAGTACCACTTGGATTCTGTGTGACCAAACTGTCTGATGCCAAGTTATCTGAGATAAACAAAAAAGTATGTGGTAAGGTTCATTTTTTAAGTAATCTTAACATTAGGTCTGGTTAAATACAGATTTCAGTGCAGACAAAAGTTTTTGAAATAATGTATGGTAGTACATGTACTAGCATGCCTTTCTTGTATAACTTCAAGAACGCTAGCAAACAAAAGTTTGGGAAAGCATGATCAAAATTGCCAAATATAAACTTTTGGTAACCAGCTAACCTGAAGTTAAGACCAAACATTACATGACGGTACTATATGTTAATGCTAGGTTCCAGTGCTATAAATAAATTAATAGTTTGTTAGCATAAAAATCAAAATGGAAAAATACAACATAGTCAAAACCATCTAAGATGAACTTTATCTGAAGGACTTTCAACTGTTGATTCAGTATACTACATTACTCATAAAGTCCTAACATAGCCATGAAGCGCAACATTGTATCATTTTAAGCATTTCAATTTTAAGGACTGGGCACTTGGATACACTATTGTGCGAAGGAGGCTTATACAATTTAGCTGTTACTTTTAATTCACGTTGTTCTTTGTATACGATTATGACAGAAAAAAACTTAACGTTATTTTGTTACATACAAGAAGACCTCAACAAGCTAGCCACGTGGGAAGAAAAATGGATGATGCAGTTCCATCCCGATAAATGTGTAGTTCTGCCAATCACCAAAAAGAAGGAACCACTACACAATAACTATATCCTCCATTGCCACAACTTAAAACATGTATCATCAGCCAAATATCTGGGAGTCACCAAAACATCTGATCTAAAGTGGGGTGCTCATTTAAACAACATCTGTCAGAAAGAAAATCGGACAATAGGATTCCTTAGGCGAAACTTAAATATAGCAAACTGTATGATCAAGGAAAAGGCATATACAGCTTAAGTAAGACCGACAATTGAATATGCAAGTTCAGTATGGGATCCTCACCTACAAAAAGACAAGCATAAACTAGATATGATACAAAGAAGATCAGCAAGGTATGTTACAAACAGGTACCACAACACATCATCAGTTTAATAAATGCTACAAAAACTACAATGGCCAACACTAGAGGAGAGAAGAAAGAACGCTAGACTAACCCTTTTATACAAAATTTCAAATGAGGAAGTAAAGATTGATGCTGGCGACAAATTGATACCACCAGACAGACTATCAAGACATACTAACGTTCACTCTTTCCAAACACCATCATGCAAGACCAGCATCAGGAAAGAGTCCTTCTTTCCACGAACGATAAGAGATTGGAACACCTTACCTGCCTTGGTGACCGCTGCATAAAGTCCTGACTCGTTCAAGAGACTACTGCATGCACATAAGATCTCAAGTCCCATGTTTTTATTTGCACAATGTATAAATGTTATGTACAGCACATTTTTTTCATTTCTGTTAAGTTATTTTTTGGGACTTGTTAAGTATGCAAGCGCACACCAAACAGTGACAGGATAGTCAACCTAATGACGGTGGTCACTTAGAGGTAGAAGTAGAAGTACTATCTAAGAATGCTATACATACTAATGTTACACAATGACTTACACTTGTTACAATGGTTTCCGGTCTTTCTTTCCTTACAACCGTCTGTGCATACTGCAGTATCTTTATTGCAAAAATCATTTAAGCAGTCAACAGGGTTACATCCCCAAATACAAGAACCATTTCCAGGGAAGCAATTACCATTGATGCAATTTACGGCACATGATACCTCACAATTACTTCCCCAAAAACTCTTTTGACATCCTGTAATGAATAATATTTTAAACGACTAATACACTTAATCAAAAACAATACACTTAAAATTATTTATAAAATAACACAATGTTTTTAAGTAGAAATATATAGGCATCATTCATAACATATTCTTTTTAAACATTTTCAGGTCATTTGTATTAAGAGTGTTATTTAAACTTGGATGATTTGCAAGGTTGAACTAAAATAGAATGATACACCCAATTCATGTTTTTTTTCTTGTAGCTGTCTTTCCCCTTGGTTATCAACAAATTTCGACATATTTCCACACGATGAAAAAAATGCTTAAAATGTACATAATGTAGTAAAGCCGAAAAGGTGTTAATCATAATCTGTGAACATACTTAAGAATGGGTTCCTAACCTGTACAAAAGTTAACTAAGAGCAGACTTGTTGACTGCTTTTAAGGTTAACTTAAGAAGTCTTAAGCAGACACGCAATTTAAATGTATCGCTGTTAGACCAGATCTATGTATGCTTTTTTATGACAGCTACAGACCTATTGACAATTCTGATCCAAATCAGTTCTTGAAACAGGTCTGCATCATACTAGACCAGACCTGTGGACAGGTCTGCTTTTGACCGATTCTGAAAACAGGTCAGCTCCCTACCAGACATAAGGAGAGGTTTACTTTTTATATTAGACCTGACCATTTATTATATTAACGATAATCGTTTACTTCTTATTTCCAGTACAGCAAAACTCTACACATTAACATTTCTTTTTTATATTTATTCTTGAATAAATATATAATAATTGTTGTTTGACATTTATAAACATGCAGGAATCAAAAGAAAGGATTGTTTTTAATTTGGAGTATGGATAAAAAGGCTGTCCAATGCATTGGAAAAATAAATTAATATGATGGGATAGTAACAACATTTTGCATTCGTATATAGCAATATTGTTGTCCTTTATATAATATAATCCATCCTGATTTACAAATTTACTAATGAATGATATGAGAATATTATTTGCGTTATAAAGTACAAATATTGTCAGTTCTGCTTGATGCGGGCAAATGTTTTTGTTATACAGATCATTCTGAAATACCAAAACTGCTGATTTTTAGTGACGGTTCAATATTTTGAATAAAAAGAAGAAATGTTGGCACTCTATAAACTTAATAACAAAATGTTGTAGTTATTGTGTATCAATATTGCTGTCCTCTATATAACACAATTCATCCTGATTTACAAAATAATACTGCTTAATGCTAGCGGCATACTATCTTTATAATAAAGTTTAAATATAGTCAGTGTTAATTGATGCGGGCAAATAATTTGGCTTTACAAACCATTCTGAAATATGAAAACTACTAGTATTTAGTGACGGTTGTAAGTATTTTGAATGAAAAGGAAATGTTGGCACTCTAATATAAAAGCAAACAATTGTTTGGTCATTGTGTACTAATATTGATATCCATTATATGATACAATTTATCCTGATTTACAAAATTTGCTGATTTATTGTACCGGCTTTTTTTGTTGTAACAAAGTTCAAATATGGTCAGTCTTAATTGATGTGGGCAATTATATTTGTTTTAAAAACCATTTAAAAGTTTTTCATGAGTTACAAAAGCTACTAATTTATGATACTGGCATATTATTTGTATTATAAAGTTCAAATATAGTCAGTGTTAACTGATTGATGCAAATAAATTTGCAATATAAACCATCCAAAGATATCACAACAACTGATTTTTAGTAACGGTTCAGTATGTTGAAAAAAGAGGAACTGTTGGCAATCTTAATTGATGTGGACAGAATTGTGTATTCATTGTATACCAATATTGCTGATTATATTATGCAATTCATTCTGAGCTACAAAATTTACTGGTTTATGATACCGGCATATTATATTTTATTATTTAGTTCAAATATGGTCAGTTTTAATTGATGCAGCCAAATATTTTGCTATACAAACCATCATGAGATATCAAAACTACTGATTTTTAGTGACGGTTCAATATTTTGAAAAAAAGAAGGAAATGAATACACTAAAAATCTAAGGAGACATAATTGTTTAGTCGTTTTATACTTATATTGCTGTCCCTTATATTATACAATTCATCATGAGTTACAAAAGTTACTAATTTATGATACTTGCATATTATTCATGTTATTGTTATTGTTAAGTCCAAAAATGGTTAGTGTTGAATGATGCCGGGAAAATATGCTTGCTAAACAAACCATCCTGAGATATAAAAAACTACTGATTTTTGGCGACGTTTTAGTTTTTGAATAAAAAGAGAAAATGCTGGCACTCTCAATTGATGCAGACAAGATTTTGTAGGCTTTCTGTTCCAGTATTGCTATCATTTGTATTATAAAATTTATCCTGCACTAAATAACTTACTGATTTATGATACAAGAATATCATTTGTATTATTAAGTTCAAATATGGTCAGTGTAGGTTGATGCGGGGAAATATTTTAGCTTTATATACAACCTGAGATACCAACACCACTGATTTAAGTGACGGTTCAGTATTTTGAATAAAAAAGGAAATGTTTACACTCTTACTTAAAGGTGACAAAATTGTGTAGACATTGTGTATCAATATTGCTGTCATTTATATATTTCAATCCATCAATATATAAGTATGCCAATTTAAAGTACACTTGTTGAAATTGTTAATCGATGCTATCTGATAACCAAGTAAATGTACTAAGCTTACAAATATACATCGTAACTGCCACAGTTTAAAACGGATCAGAACTGAATCTTTTAAATATAGATGACTCAAAGAAGTTGATATTTTATTAAAATTTTTAATGCACGTTAGCTATTTTTAAACTGTATTCTTTATATCGAGAAACAATGACATTATAGAATATTATATCAATCGATGTAAGGTGGACATGGTCACAAATTAACTAAGTGTGGAGCAGACCAGTGAAAACTTAACTTTATAGCCGGTCTGATGTAATTGGAGTTGTCGAAGTTAACTTTGTGCAGGACTGGTTTCAAAGTTCAATTAAGTAGAGGACCTGTCTAAAGTTAACTTTTTCGGCAGTCATTAAAACGGTCCTAGAGACTAAATAGAGGGAATCAACTGAAGCGAATGACAAGTTAAAACCCTTGGTATATATTTTGGGCACTGTAGTGAGGAATGTGAGAGGATAAAACTGGGGTAATAGAATAGAAAAGATGAATAACTTATTTTATTCTTGGCAGAAAAGAAATTTGACTATTTTTGGAAATATTTAAATAATTAAAACATTGATAATTCCTATTTTCATGTTTATAGGAAGTGCTTAAATAGTTCCTGGAAAATAATTGAACGATATCGAAAACTGTTGTATAAAATTAATTTGGGATAATAAACCAAACAAAGTAATACGAAATTCTATCATTGGTCCATTCAACATTGGGGGGGTTTAAATGATTGATATAAGAAGCTACGTTATAGTTTTTAAAGCATTGTGGGTAAAAAGACTATACATGGAGCTAGCTAGTGCTCTTGTTGGAAATTGGAAGTTCATACCTCTTAAATATTTCAGTAGTTTGGTCTAAACCCGTAGTGTTTTAAACAAACAGTGGCGATATTAATACTGATGAAAATCTTAAAAATATCATAGATTTTTATAAAGATACCTTTAAATGTTAGAGCTTAATCGGTGGGGGTCTAGCAAAAAAGCCAAAAAATATTTACAGAGATATGAAGACAAATATTAAGGAATAAGGAAATGTTTCAATTTGAAACTATAATTTTGAAAAATTGGATTAAAAACAATCTAGTTTATGTGAATTATATTCTAAATGATAAAGACTGTGTTTATCAAAATGTAATTTTATATAAATTGAAAACAAATCGAACTAGATAGCTGCAATAAATTTGGTAAAGAAATCAATACCAAATGAGTTGTACACTATCTTAAAGTCTGAAAACTCTATAAACAGCACAGTCAATATTAAAAGAAACTAATTTACATGGGAAGATTTTCCAAATGAATTAGAAACACTATCAAACACATTTTTGTATAAATCTCTTGTAAGTCAAAATTGTGAACCACCTATTGAGCCTAGTAAACGGCTGTGTGTTCTTGAAATAGGAGAAATGTAATCTCAAGTCAATGCATATACATTTTTGTTCAAATATTTGAATGATGATGAACTCAAAATGTTTAGATGGAAATTGTAACAACATATTCTACCTACAAAGAAACTTAATTTAGTTGGAAAATTGTTAGAAACATTTCTAGTAACTTTTTTACACAAGAAGATAACGATCACTTTTTATATTGTGTTCATAATAGAATATATGAAGTTTTAAGGCGAGATAAGATAGCTTTTAAGATAACATTAAACCATTTAGTTTTCTGCGATTAGATTTCTGATGAATACTATTTTGATTTTAATTATTTTGTAACGATTGTAAATTTTTGGATTTACAGAGCGTATTATATTTCTGACAAAAGACAATAAATAATAGTGTGTTTTCAATTTTTATTAAAGAATTCAATAGGAGAGTAAAAGAGAAAAATAAAAATTACATTTTAGTAGCCATAAGACAACATTTAAATAATGTGTATGTGTGATATTTTAGAATAAAGTTATATATATATATATATATATGGTCTTTTGGAAATTGTTGTTTGTGCTGTATTTAGACCCCTCTACCAAGAAATTTGTTTTACATGCACACGTATAAAAATTGCGGTTTTTATCCAACGCAATCATAGGTTTGAACGTTGTTTTCAATTTAGACTTTTATATATTTTTTCGTTTGGGCTTGTATTATATTTTCCTTCGGGTTTATATGATCCGTTCATCCTATTTCGACGCTTTAAAATTCAAGAGTCTTTCCTAAATTGAGGTAAATTATATGGCCTTCCAAATACCATTTCGATCCCTAACATCACTGAAGAGACATAAATTGTCGAAATCCGGATATGGTGTACAAATTTTTGCACCTCATGTTTGTGGTATACCATCTTTTCCAAAAGTTTATTGTTTTCTGTTTGGTATTTAATTAATATTAAGATCCATTTTGTTAGATCTGGTGATCAATTTATTTGGCAATCGCCAATGGCAGTCAGCAGGGTTTAAGAACATCGGTTGTTCGACCTGTTAGTCAAATGCGTTTTGTTAAAATATACTTTTTCACTTTTTTTGGTCTTTTGGAAATTGTTGTTTGTGCTGTATTTAGACCCCTCTACCAAGATATTTGTTTTACATGCACACGTATAAAAATTGCGGTTTTTATCCAACGCAATCATAGGTTTGAACGTTGTTTTCAATTTAGACTTTTATATATTTTTTCGTTTGGGCTTGTATTATATTTTCTTTCGGGTTTATATGATCCGTTCATCCTATTTCGACTCTTTAAAATTCAAGAGTCTTTCCTAAATTGAGGTAAATTATATGGCCTTCCAAATACCATTTCGATCCCTAACATCACTGAAGAGACATAAATTGTCGAAATCCAGATATGGTGTACAAATTTTTGCACCTCATGTTTGTGGTATACCATCTTTTCCACAAGTTTATTGTTTTCTGTTTGGTATTTAATTAATATTAAGATCCATTTTGTTAGATCTGGTGATCAATTTATTTGGCAATCGCCAATGGCAGTCAGCAGGGTTTAAGAACATCGGTTGTTCGACCTGTTAGTCAAATGCGTTTTGTTAAAATAGACTTTTTTCACTTTTTTTGGTCTTTTGGAAATTGTTGTTTGTGCTGTATTTAGACCCCTCTACCAAGAAATTTGTTTTACATGCACACGTATAAAAATTGCGGTTTTTATCCAACGCAATCATAGGTTTGAACGTTGTTTTCAATTTAGACTTTTATATATATATATATATATATATATATATATATATTGGTATGACTTATTTTGAATTTTAAAACTAATTACTGCCCTTGGTAATTAGTGGAATGTAACAGGGAACATCAGGATGATCCTGAACCCCTTATAGATGATGAACAAGCCATAATTCCAAAAAAAAAAACGGTCCTAGGACTTAGTCTGCTTTTTGAGTTCACTCGATTTTGGTTCTGGTACCGGTCGAAGCAGTTGTTAAACTGGTCACATGTTAACCTTAACCAGTAAAAATAGCCAAACACGGAAGAGGGACAAACGCTAAGTTTGGAGAATATTCAGAGTTTATTCACAATATGATGAACCCACCATTAATGGCAACGTAACACAACTCAATAACAGGTCCATCGTAACGACCATCTACTTCTGTAGATCCTTTGTTATCGTAATAAATGACATATTTCCCAAGTTGATTAAAAGGAATAGTCTGAGTGATGTTTGGAAGACCAGGATCAGGATCTTCATAACAGGAATCACTGACAGGAGGAGTTGTTGATGTATTGGTCACACATAATTTAAATCCATCCATACGACGAGCAACTGTAATAAAAAAAATATATAAGGTTTTATTTTCAACGTTAGTAAACAAAAGCAGATCTTTGATTGTTTTGTTTTATTTATTTACTACATTTAGACTTGTAACGATTTACATCTTGATATATTGTATAGCCACATATGTATAACAGATGTTTTTTAGTTATTTGTATTACTGGGTTACTATCTCATTGATGAATACATGTACTCACACATCTCCTTATGTTCACACTTGTGAACAAAACTTTGATATTTTACAATCTGAGACTGAGTATATTGGAAGGTTTACGAAATCTTGCTATGTAGATTAGCTCCTATAAGTTTTATTGACTGTCCTTGCATCAAGAGCTCATCATGTTTATAACTGGCTTTATTCCAGATAAAACTGTATTTTGGGACTCTTTTATTTATAAAACAATACATTAATTTTCCTTCTTTTTTTTCGTTAGCACACGGCTGAGGTATGAGTGTCGTGTGTGTAATAGCTGAAAATAAATAACTTTACACAAGACAGTATGATAATGAATATTCTGCAACACATAATATGATAATGCAAAAAAAAAAAACAAATGTCTACAAAAGTGGAAAAAAATAATTAAACATATATAAATATAAATGATATACACGGTCCTATCTGACAAGCAAAATATTTAGTTTCAAATATTCTTCAAAGGTACTGCATTTGTTTTTACCTTTGTGCACAGTATAATTCTGTAAATTGGATCATTTTGACAGACATATTTCTTTTTTATAATTTTTTTACGCCTGTTTATAATATAACGGATATTTTCACTGATTTTGTAGTTGAATTATATTTTTTTGCTTTTACGGTCCGATACCAGATCTTTCACGATCCGATCGCAATGCTTGACTATAAATTCTGCAGTCAAATAAAGACCGTTCATTGTTTATTAAAACCATATTTAACTATTATTCCTTCTGATAACGTTTCGTAAGAATCACGGTAGGTATAGTGTATTGCTGGGATGGTTTCGAGTGATTTGACGACGTTTTTCCGAGTGAATATCATAAAGAACGTTAAAAAACAGACATCCATTCTTGTAAGCCTAATATACAAGATCATACAAGGTAAATAAGGATATTTTGATTTTTTTTTGTTTTAAAAACGATTAATTTAGCCTTACAATGATTAATTTTATAACATAGATTAAAGTCATTTTTATACACATGCCAGTGCAAATGTCAAAGGAAATGCATACATGGAATCTATATATACTTATTTGTTATACTTAAAATGCAATATTTTGATTGGCTTATACGAGGGTGTTAATTTACTCTATTATATGGTAAATACTCTATTACCCTTCATGGAGACGCTTGATCAAGTGTGCGCTTTATAAAATAATGATGGTTGTTATGTACAAGACGTCATAGTTTATTACTTTGAATTTGAAATTTAATCGACAGTAATAACAGAACATTCAGTATAATAAATTAAATAACACATATCTGAGAGGGTGATAGAGCAGATTGTTACCCCTCGAAAAGACATTTTCAACCTTTGCTTCGCCTCAGTTGACAATGTTTTCTCGGGGTAACAATCTGCTCTATCACCCTCTTAGCTATGTGTTATTTATATAATGTACGGACACTTAATAAAAACTCTTGTTATTGCATTGATAAGGACATTATGGAAGGTTAATTCATTGTTATAAGTCCGTGTTTTTTCGATAGCAGTCCATGTTTTGTTGAGTGCTTCCATGTTTTATCGAGTGAAGAAACAAAATTTCTATGGCAAACAATGTAATATGTCAGTGCATTCACGTTAAAAAAACAATGACAATGTTCAAATTAAGTTATTGTCAAGGCAAAAAACCAATGCATTAAACCAGTTTGATAATGCTGTATTAATTAGCACGTACATTTCATAATTGTATCGTTCATTTGTATATATTGCTGTTTGCCAAGTTTTATAATTACATGGACACCAGTATACGTATATTTAAATAGATCAAACATGTCTGCGCCCAATAAAGACTGTTTACATCATGCACGTCCACTGTTTTCAACCCACACAGGTTTACTTATGTTTGGATCGATCCAGCATGTCCACACCCTTGTGTAAAGCGGATAAATAGGTAGGGTTTTTTTTTAACGGAAAAACATCCTTAATGATCATTTGCTATTTGTCTTGATTATAATATGTTTTATCGTTCTAGATATGGAAAACAAGAACAATGATCAAATGAAGAGCAGTCTGATCAAGCGTATGTTATCTTTAGTCACACAGAAATAAAACACCGTCATAGCTTCCTTTACCTTAGAAATTAAAAGAATAGAAATTGACAATGTATATTTGTGTGGTGATTATGTTTTCATTTTGTTTTTATTTCAAAAGGATCGTATTAAAGCTTATTTATTTCAGTGTTTATGAAATACATTGGATAAGTCTCCGATGTTATCATCAGATCAGAAGTCGGTTCGTTGGTACTGGCATGATTTATAATGGTTTACTTTTACAATTGTGACTTGGATGGAGAGTTATCTCATTGGCACTCATATCACATCTTCTTACATCTATTTTCTAAAATTTTTTATCTCAAAGAGGGATTATGGAATAAAAATGTGGTCAATTAGGTCCTGTTCCGACCGGCAGTAAAACCCTTCCCAAAGAAGGGCGTTCGTTTGGCTGTGTTGGATGTTCAAGTACACAGCCACGTCCTATCAGAATGGGGCGTGAAAAGAGAATGACACGTTCTTTGCACGTTAAGAACCCTTGTAACAACTCTTTCATGGTCCGTAGGTGGCCTGTTGAAAAGTCAAATATTTATCCATATCCAATATACCCTCATTTTCCAGTGCAAGGCAGTCTAAATTTCCCGACCTTCATCCAGAACGGCCTGTATTACAGGACATTCCCAATTTATTTACTGTTAATCTATTCTCTTCCTGAACATGCATCAAATAGTTGCCACTTGATATAAAGCAAACAGCACTTTATCATCTAAAATTGTCCTTTTTCAAATTTTAAAATTATAAAGAAACTAAGGTTTCAACTCCCTTAGATGGACTTGGCTATTTTTAGATCCCTTTTGGTCATATGGCTTTTCAACTGTTTCGGTTCTTATATATTGGCTTTCAAATATTTGGCTTTAAGCGTTTCGGATGGAGAGCGATCTAAAAAAAAAGCGCTTCAGACTCATTTTTTGTTAGATATTCCATTCAATTCAAATGTCAATGAGAAATAAAATATAGACGGGTTAAATGTGTGTTTTTGTTTTTTTGTTTTTCGCTATTGTAATTTGTTTAGGAGGGCTCTTTTAGTAGAATACTTGTGTTTATATTGAATTTTTCGGATTTTTTACTGTTACCCCTTAGTTTTCTTACCCCTATTTTAAAAACTCGCCACTCAATCATACAATATTATTGACTATAAAAACAAAGGAAGCATTAAATGAAATTGAAATGATTATTAGTCCGGTTCTAAAGACCGTTCAAAAGGGCCTAATGATTTCTTTTATATTGTAATACTGCAAGGTTATTGTAAAATGTTTTTAGTACAGAATAATAATATTAAAAAACACGGACAATGTAAAACGCTGAATTTTAAGTGAAATTCAAGGAAATTGTGCGTAGTTTGTGATCAAAATATGTATAGTTTTCAGAATAAGGTGACCAGTCATGAAACTATTATACTTGCGAAATAGCAGTAAATCGATCTGATTACATATAATATCACTCAAAAAACCCTGATCTACACTCGAAAAAAGTAGACCGATTCACTCGAAAAAACATGATCTCAGCCGGGCACTTTACCTTCCGTGAGAATAGTGTCTATCAAATAGTTCTTTCAGCTCAATTATGAACTGGGTTTGCCCTCAAACTTTAAGTAATAATTAGTGACATATGAAGGATGTACTTAGGTGAAATTAAAGAAATCTAGAATTTAAAATTGATACTATAAGTCAGAAGAACATTAGTTAAGGAACAAAATAAGCTGAAAATACTGATAGGTTATGGAGCTCAGCTTGATCTATTTGATTAAATTTGCTTTTATATAACCGAAAGGACCGAGTATTTTATGACAATTGAAACCGTGCAGTCGGTACTGTCTATTAGTAATCAACAGCATGAGTTCTAATTTCGCATATACTAATAAAAATCAGCTGGGATAGGACTGTCCTATATATAAGTTTTGTTAATCATATTTGTTAGGTTTTTAAACAAAAGCAATCTGAAATTTAACGTAAGTTTACCAATTATTTTGTATTAAAAGGGCAATGTTTCATGTTTTTGTTAATCACGTAAATCATAAATCAGTAATGATATACGAGACGCGTATTTCAATAAGCAATAGAAAAAAGACAGAATTAGCCGAATCGTTGAATACAAATACGAGTATTTTAAAATGATGTTGATATATCATGTAATTTAAACATAAGTTATCACCAGTATACTGCATTAATGCAACACTAATTAAACATCAACAAAAATGATAGCTGACAGATATTTGTATTTAACCAGTAGAGATCATGGAGAGTGAGGTAGTAGTTGATTAAAACAACCGAGTTTTTTGTCTCTCACAGGGTATTTTAAAGCTGTGTCATCCTTTGATATTATATTGTTTTACTATCATTACTCGTTGACTTGAAGTTTCTAGTTTTAGGAATAACTTTTAGGTTTTATGTATATTACAACTTATTGATTACTTCTACATGAATCGGAAGTTTAAAATATCTATGGTATTTACATGTATAATTATGTATTTTATTTGTATACTTACAATCTTCTCTGTAGTAATCAGTTATATCTGTGATACATATACTTACAACCTTCTCTGTAGTAAATAGTTATATCTGTGATGTATATACTTACAGCCTTCTCTGTAGTAAATAGTTATATCTGTGATGTATATAGTTACAGTGTTCTTTGTAGTAAATAGTTATATCTGTGATGTATATACTTACAGCCTTCTCTGTAGTAAATAGTTACATGTATATCTGTGATATATATACTTACAGCCTTCTCTGTAGTAAATAGTTACA